ATGAATATGAAACAATGCTGGTGCCAAGAGATCAGGCTCAGCCACCAGAGACCACCGGAATGCATCTCCCCGCTTCCCGAGTCTGAACTACAGACTTCAAGCGCTTTAATTTTATGCACGCATTTCATTATATAGCCATGGCCAGAAGCTTTTCGAGACAAGCCAGCAATCAGACAATCTTGCATCGCTTGCGGAAATCCACATTTGTCCTTTGTCAGCATAAACACTTTAATTTGATGTTTTCACTCCTGAGTAAGCACTGAGTATGTTTTAAACTCCTTCAGAGGAAGGACACTCCTCTGTTCATGCACAGAAATGCTAGATTTCTATTTCCTTTGCCTACTGTGAGTGATGACATATAGGCCTTCCTCTTTTCTTTTCTTTTCTGTAATATACTGCTTCCAATGATGAAAGGAAGACAGGAGGTGGGAAATTAGCATTCAGCATGTAGATGCCTTGGAAAATCATTAGCCAAACAGTAATAGGGGGAGAGGTTTGCGTGTGTCAAATTTAACAACGCATACCTAAGCAGACCTAAATATTTACATCTCTTCTATGATGGCTAAGCAATCTGGCTTAAACACATAAGCATGTGTTTTTTTAAAGTTACTAAAAGCTACCTTTGCTTCTTGTATCAACAGAGGACATGAACCTGTTATAGAGATTGCCACGAACTTGTCAAAATACTGGTTTCAAATGTATGGAAGTATTTTGGCACACAAGAGGTCAGTCTTCAAATTAAGTTTCAAAAACCAAAACCATGTCCTTCTTGTTATCATCTGGGAGGTAAGAAAATGACAAGACTTCCTTTTCTGTCCAGAAAGAGCCAAAACTGAATTATTCCACATGAGAAGCACGGTTAAGAACTTTGTGTTAGTTTTCAATGATCAATATAGAGCTTGAGGGTATGGATTTTACTGTGTCTGCTTTTGCATTAAATTATTTTTAGACCTTGATTTTTCAAGCCTTAAGTTATACTACACATTGGAGCAAGAACCTCATATTCTTTGTGTACAGCTGCTTTAGAATGTCTTTTATAATGTAACTTACATGTAACCACTATGAGCTTTGTAATAATTTAAACAGCAAGTGCATTTTTAAAATATTACTCTTCATTCTCTCTTAGGAATTCAAGATGACTTAACAAAAACAATCTAACAAATGCAAACATCTTTTTAGTTTATAATAATAAACCTTTAAAACCAAAGGAGCCACAGGAAACAATGCAGCAGCAATCAAAATATTTAAAATATTCAGAAACAGTTAAAAGTTCCAGTAAAAACTGCCTACCCAAGGCCTTCTCAGAAAGAGTCTTTTCCTGTTCCTAGGGTCATTCATGAGTAAATGAGATGGGCCTCCTATGGAGTTCCAGAGGCAAAGCCATCTCTTCCTTGTCCCAACTAAAGGCCTGAACAGTGAACAGATTGCCAGAAATAATCCACCATGAGACCACTTTAACTGCCTGGCTCAGTGCTAAGGAATCATGGGAAATGTAGTTTATTATGGCACACGAGCACTCTGACAGAGAAGGCTCAACGTCTCAGAAAAACTACAGTTCCCATGATTCCACAGCATTGAGCCAGGACACTTAAAGTGGTCTCAAGGTGGATTATTTCTGGCAGTCTGTTCAGGCCCTAAGTATATATTATCTAGGGTTGTTGGGACATAGGAGGGAACCTCCAAGGAGGTATGCAAGCAGGCTTATTGGGGAGAAGGCAACCAGATATGCTAACACTAAACCAACCGGGGTTTTAAAGACCATCACCAGGACTTTGAAAAGTAACCAGAAACCAATTTAGAAAATTGGAGCAGCTATTTCAACCAGGGAGTCACAAGAAAGCCTGTACTGCAGAAATAATCTGGTTCGACACCACTTTAACTGCCACGGCTCAATGCTAAGGAATTCTGGGAATTGTTATTCATTGGGCACCAGAGCTCTCTACATGTCTCACAAAATCACAGTTTCCAGAATTCCACAGCATTTGAGCCACGTCAGTTAAAGTGGTGTCAAACTGGATTATTTCCGCAGTGTGGAGGCCACCCTAGTTAACAACAGGCTGCTGTGTTCTGGAGCAATGGCAGTTTCCAAATACTCAGCACACAGCAATGATCAAGTGACTGAGACATGTGTTACCTTGGCCAGATCTGCACTTTCCAGGAACAAGCGTAGTTAGAGTAGCAGCATCAGCTGGTGGAAGTTGTCCAAACCATATGGAGATGGCCAGACCTGGGATTTGTATAAGATGTCCCACGATCCCAAGTATGTTTACTTGAAAGTTAAGTCCTACAGAATTCAATGGGATTTGCTGCCAAGTACTGGGACTGCAACCTAATGGGTATGGGGTTTCTGTTGCTGTTATCAAAATAACATGATTGGATAAACAGAGGCACCTTAACATTAGGCTTCTTAGCTCTTACCAGACAGTTTTCTTTCACTGGGTTCAATGATCCATTTTTAGACTATCAAACCAAACAGTAAAATGATGCCAGGTAGAAGGCAGACAAGAACCCTACAATTCTGGTCCACCAATCACTCCCTATACACACACGCAGCACAAGGTAATTTATGGTTCAGTAGTTTAATAATTTATAAGTTTCAGGGCACATTTATAAATATTAATCCAATTTCATATTTTATGTTAATTCATATAAGAGCCTGGGTAGAATATTACATCATAAATCCTATACTAGCATTGTGTGTGTATGCGTGTGTGTGTTTTCTTTTAAAAGAGACAGTTTTGTACAGAATAAATAATTTACTATTTTGTAGGGTACCATGGCACCATCTATTGGTCTAAAAGAGCTTTTCCTTCCCTCTCTCTGTTGATCTAAATATTTTGGCACAAATCTACTTGTGTATTAATAGATCCCACAGTTCCTGTATGAAATAAAATCAAAGAGAGATTCCCCCAATGTAGTTGGTAATACAACTAAATAACCAAACAAACCAACTGGGACTTATACTTTATAATAGAAACACTGTTAAGATGAGATGTGCAATATTTTTCTACTTGTACTGTAACATGTTTCAAATGATATACGGATAATAGTTCAGGCACAATGCATGCAAAGGTATTATTTCTGTGCTTTTACAAGAAAAAACAGCTTTAGAGTAAACTGGATTGGGATGAGAGGGAAATGAATCAATGGCAGCAAGTTCAGAAAGCACACACCTCAGCAAATCCATATTACCATTTACCTAGTAAGCACTATAGCAATTTCAAGAAATAATCATTAATGAAACATACCCACTCTCTTCGACATAAGAGCTGGTACCCAAATTTTCAGTCGGTTAAAGGCATTTTTATAACAGTCACCCAGGTACAGGACTGTTATAAAAATATCAAAAATGATCCTTTCAGCATTATTTCTCTAGAGATTCTGGAAGCATTTTAGATACTTTCTGTCTGTTTGTTTGTTGTTTTGATGAAGAACTGCTACCTTGGGATTTATTTCCACAAAACATCTGTCATCCAGCATTGAAGCTCAGAGGGGCAATTCTCTTGCAAGCCTGGTGAAGCTGAATGTCTCCCACAGACCACAGTTTTTGCCAATGAAACCAATTATTTTTAAGAGTCAAGAGGGATGACCAAGCAACAATGAGAGACATAAAAGATCCCAGTTTTCCTTTCAGTTTCTGCAGTGCTGTGTATGAGATTCATTCTCACAGTGCTGGCAATGAGGAAATGAAGCTTAAAATGTCATGGGTTTCCACTAGGTGGTGATGTAGTTGATATGTTCTAAATTATAAATGGGACACAGCAACTTACCCATTGTAACATAAGGCAATTTGTCAGTGGATCCATGGGGATAGATGCTGTAGAGATGGGCCCCGGTGACGTCTACCCCACCTAGAACCAAGGCAGCACCGATGTAACCTTGATACCTGGGGAATACACACAAACATGTATCATGAACAGGAGGAATGCTTTCTAAACAAAGTCATCATTTTTAATTAGTTCTTCCCTCTACGTCCCTACCAACACCACCACAAAAGACTCTACTCATGCAACTGTTTATAAGAATATATTTTAGGAGTGGTTATTCTATTACCGAACTGACCCAACTGCACATCCTTGTTTGCTGTTTACTGAATGGGAAGGGTAGGGAAACAACTATCACCCACAGCAGTGTCCATCTTAAGGGTAGTTACCTGAAGAGCATCTGCTTGAGCATCCGGTTGGCAGTGACCACCCTTGGAAGCCGTCCAGTTGAGAGCGAGTGTAGCTCCATGTTGGAAGAGATCAATTGAGTTGTCATTTCAGTGTCTGCAGCCGTCCCGGCACCACAACAACTGTGAACATATTGCATATAGTGAAGAAATGGCTTTTAAACTGCTCTCTATTGGTCACACAGCTACTCCCGGTAGGTCCCTACATCCACCAGTGGAAGGCATTTGCCACTTTGTAGAAATGAAGGAACAAATCAGGTGGTGTAACTCCATTAAGTAGGCAAGAGTTTTCAGGGCAGAATATTGAAATTATTTTGGACAGACCAAAAATTGGTGCTTACTGGTTTGTTCCATGAGATATCAACAGTCTATACCTCCCTCCATCTCATAATTTCAAAAAGTTGATAAATAAGAACAGATTTAGGAAAATGTTGTCAATCTGTTCGCTTACTAGATGTTTGGAGAAATGTAGTGTATTTTCGAACAGTTCTTGTCAGCCACAACCATCCCTTCCGTTGCCCTCGTATCTGCTCCGAGTACAATCCCATCCTGGAGAAAGAAGAACTCTTTTAAGCTGCAAGTAACGCTATAGCCACTTTCATAAGAGCAGCCTCACTGATTTCAGGGGGACTTTCTGAGCAGATATATATATATAGGACTTGTTGTAGTTGTTGCTGTATGCCTTTAGGTTATTTTTGACTTAAGGAAACCCTAAGGCGAAACTATCATGGAGTTTTCCTGGCAAGGTTTGTTCAGAGGAGGTTTGCCATTGCCTTTCCCTGAGGCTGAGAACATGTGACTTGCCCAGGTTCACCCAGTGGATTTCCATGGCCAAGCAGGGATTTAAACCCTGGTCTCCAGAGTCCTAATCCAATGCTCCAACCACTATGCCATGCTGGCTCTCTCTCCCTGTCAACAGGAATCAGGGACTGAAATGATACCCATCTTGTTCGGGCAACTGACTTACACATTGTAAACTGCTTAGGGAGTGCTAGTGCATCGATAAGCAGTATAGAAATGTACTAGCAATTGCTATGATGTACCACAACAGTGACATTTTCACAAAGACAGTGAAGGGAAGCTGAGGCCTCACCTTGAACACTACTCCAGCAATGGTGGTCCCTGTCTTGCGAGCGGTGGGGAGCCTGAGACCCTTCTTGGCCCCTTCAGCTTCCAAGTGGGCATTCCTGAAACAAGAGAGAAAGTGAACTTTAAAATTAAAGTTTAAAAATTCAAACATGTTCCACAAATCCTGTGACTCAGGTTTTTGTAACAGAGCTGGCTATTTCAACCACCACAAAAGA